CTTAGTGACTGTAGGGGTGCAGGACGTGGCCCTCAGGCCAGGCAGCGCTAGATGTCTGTGCAGAGGGGTGTTGGGGATAGGGGTGTTGGCAGCATCCAGCCCTGCCTGGGGCACGCGGGTGGGGTTTGGAGGTGTTCAGCATGGAGCTAAAGCCTTTGCTTGGCCCCACCAGGATAAAGAGCCCCGTGGCATCATCCCCCTGGAGAACCTGAGCATCCGCGAGGTGGAGGACTCGAAGAAGCCCGTGAGTGCGGCAGCAGGGTCCCCGGGGCTGGAGGGGCAGCCCTAGTGCTTTGGTTGGGGCAGGAGCAGGGCACAGAAAGCTGGGAGGTGCTGCGGCCCCTGAGGGATGCCACCGGGAGTGGCGGGAGGGCCCCGCAGCGGTCGCTGCCTCCACCCATCACAGCGGCCAGGTGCAGACCCGGGGCCGGTCACCGCAGTGGCCAGGGCTGGTGGCAGGGCACTCCTGGGAGCCATGGGATGACAGTCACAGCATGTCCATCCCTCTCTGCTGCATTGGGGGTGGCTGTGCCAGGGGAGTGCCTGCAGCCTCGGCGCTCCGCCTCATCCCTCCCAGCTTGGGGTCCCCTTTGGAAGCAGGGGCTGCCTCTGAACGGTCTCCTCCCTCCCAGAACTGCTTTGAGCTCTACATCCCTGACAACAAGGACCAGGTGATCAAGGCCTGCAAGACGGAGGCGGATGGGCGGGTGGTGGAGGGGAACCACACGGTGTACCGCATCTCCGCCCCCACGCCTGAGGAGAAGGAGGAGTGGATCAAGTGCATCAAGTGAGTGCTCCGAGGAGCAAGTGGCAGGGCGCTGAGCAGGGGCATGGTGGTGACCTGTCTGCTGCGCTTGAGGGGGGCGATGCTTCCCGGGGCACCCTGCAAGGATGGGGGGGAATGGGCTTTCCCAGGGGCACAAAGGGACCTGCCTGAGGCCCTGCCAGGCAGGTCAGACCCAGCCCTACAGCAGTTTTCGCCTGGCTGTACAGCTAACCCGAGCCCTCGTTCCCCCTGCCAGGGCAGCAATCAGCCGGGACCCTTTCTACGAGATGCTGGCTGCCAGGAAGAAGAAGGTGTCCTCCACCAAAAGACACTAGCAGCCTCCACTGGCCCTGCGAGGCTGGCCCTGGCAGCCCGAGCGTCTCTCCTCCCCAGAGGGCTGCGGGGCTGGGGCTGCGCTGCAGCCTGATCCTCGGGGCCCAGGACCCAGCTTCAGCTTCGCAGTTTCTTTACCATGGGGCGAGGAAGGGGGCACAGGCGTCTCGGTGGCTCTGCCCCCCCACATCACTGCCTCATCTCCAGGACAGCATCCTCACAGGCTGGAGCTGGGACAGCAACACCCCTGCACGCAGGGAGCCCCATCCTGTCCCAGGCTCGGCTGCAGGAGGGGGAGTGCCGTGTGTGAGTACTGTCCTCCCCTTCTGCCTCAGCCAGCCAGGGCTGGGCAGTGGGGCACCATGGACGCCCTTCCTGCTCCCGATCCCCCCAGCAAGCATGCAGCCACTTATGCTGCTGGGTTCCCCCCAGCACTCGTGTCCTGAAGCACTTGGGGTGTCCTGTCAGGTCACCAGCTGACAGCAGCTGGCAGTTTCGGGGTGCTGCAGGCACTGGGGTGAAGGGCGGCAGCCCCAGGGCGGCTGGGGGGTGGCCCCGCAGAGGCACGGCTCCTGGCCCCCTTTGTAGCGGGCCTGGGTCTGTCCTGGGCTTCCCCATGCTGCTGCCTGGACCCTCCCAGCTGTCCCCTGCACCAGGGATGGTCCCCGCAGGCGCAGGGAGGGCTGAGGGGCAGGGAGTTGTCACCATCACAGTGTGCAGTGGTGCCACATGGGGCACAGACATGTCCTCGTCCAGCTGTGGGGTGCCGGAGCTCAGATGCGGGCCCTGGTCCGGCAGCACCAGGTGGCATTGCCCCTGGCACATCCTTGCAGCACGATCCCCTCAGCGAGGGGCAGGGGAGGCCGTGTCAGGCGTGGCTGTCATCTCCTCGAGCGTGAGCCCTCGCTCCTGAGCAGGTGATGGGACGTGCCTGGAGCCTGCGCCCCGGATGGCTGCTGGCGAGGGTGTCCAGCTGGGCTGGGGGCTGCAGCCCCCCTGCCTCTGCCTTGCAAACACCCATGTCTCGTCCTGTTCCCCCGGCCACTGCGCATGGTCTGGAGAGAGGCGCCTGGATCAGTATTAGTCTATTTATCAGAGGTGTAAATACTCCTGTATAGTTTTCTCCTTTTAGATTATTTTGTATGTCGGGTCGTTCTGTGCAGAGGCCTCTCCGGAGGGTGGGGGGTGGCAGATTTTTTATTCTAACCTTTTTTTTTTTTTTTTTTTTTTCCCG